GATGGAGTCAAGCCTAAATCTTCTTGAGTTCCAGTTGATCAGGATCTCTTCAGGTACCAGCCCTCTAAAATTTACTCCTTTCCTTATCAGTTTGGTAGTCAAAAATTGATATTGTTTTCCTCCCCTCCCTTATTCTCCAAGGTATCTGTTTCAATACCACAATTTCCTTTTGTCTGTATTGTATTGGGTCTTCACTGGTCCTTCACACTACTTCATCTCTTGTCGATCTTTTCACAAACTTTATGTGTATTCTATTCTTCCTCGCATAACTTGAATTTGATCTATATATTTGTTTTATCTTATTTTCCAACTCTTCTTTTGCAATTCCCAGTGCCTCTGCCAAAATGGTTGCCATCAATTCTGTTAAGCTCTCCTGTTTGTCTTCTGGTATGTTTTGGAATCTAATTGTAGCGGGCCACTCTGAAGCCTCTATCCACTCAGGCCTCCAGGAGTGCTCACTACTCTTCCTCTTCAACTGCTGCCACCAATTATAATCAATATTTAAAAAGGACAAGTGTTTCTTCCAAAACAAAACTTGTTTATTGATATAATCAAATAAAATGAGTAAATCACAGGTAGATAATCAAGTTGTAAATCACTGTTTCTCATTCATTAAATCACACAGACTTTTCCTCACTGACTATTTTGGCTCACAGTCCTTCAAACAAACTAATCACTAACTCTCAATCTCCCAGAACCCTTTTTCACACCTCACACACCCCTTTTATATTTCAGCTCCTCCCCCTTCTGCACCACCCTCCGTCCCCTCATTGGCTGATGTTCCACTGCCCAGCTGTGACGGACAGGTGAGAGCAGGGCTGTATGTTACACTAATAATGTTTGAGGCTCTTCCCATCTCCATTACTGCGATTGAATCTGTTAGATTTTTGTTAGCCTGGACTAGTTTGTGGTTTATTGTTTTCAATGCATCCAATCTCTTCTGTTTGATCTGTGTTATTTTCCAATTTTTCAATTCTTTGTTGATTCTTTGTGGTCTTTTGCTGGATATCTTGGAGTTGCATATTCATCATGCGGATCTGTTTCTTGGTTTTATCCATTTTCTCTTCCAGTTTCTGTTGGTTAAGTTTGGCTTCTTAATGGTTTCTTCTTGATTCTTCTTGATTTTTCTTCGTCTCTTCTTTGTGCAATACAACTGTATCTTGAATCTTCTGGAGTGTTGCTTGTAGATCTTTCTGAAAATTTTCTTGAAATAGCATTGTATCAATAGATCTTTGCTGTACTGGGCTGTTGAAGATGAAGGTGCAGAGGCTTTTTTTTGGCAGTTTTAGAAAGATTTGGTAGGCTCATCATGAGTAGTTTCCCCCAAATTATCCAATCAGTCCCCCAGAGTTCTGTTGACCTGCTACACTGCCTTTTCCACCTTTTAGTTACTCAGTTATAGTCAGTACAGTGGTGCCTTGCTAGATGATTACCTCACAAAACGGTTTATTTGAAAGATGATGAGTTTTTGCGATTACTATAGCGCTTTGCAAAACTTTTCCCTATGGGCGATTTTCACTGGACGATGTTTCGGTCTGTGCTTTACAATACAGCTTTTTTGGGGGGACCGTTTTTTGCAAGACGACAATTTTGACAGCCAGGTCCATGACTCGCAAAATGTTTTTTTTAAGGGACCGATTTTCGCAAGACAGCGATTTTGACAGCTGGTCTGCGCTTCGCAAAATGGTTTTCCCTATGGGCGATTTTCGCAAGACGACAACTATTTTCCCCATTGGAACGCATTAAATGGATTTCGGTGCATTCCAGTGGGGAATAGCATTTCGCAAGACGATGTTTTTGCAAAACAGCAGTTTTCGCGGAACGAATTAACATTGTCTTGTGAGGCACCACTGTATATCAATAATACATTATCATCATTAGTCTTCAATTATACATTATCATACAGCTCAATATTCAGTTTATAAGTTCATTAATACAAGATAGGCACTTTCAGAGCTATGTAGTATTTTCTGCCTAAGCAGGCTGCTAGTTTTACAATTTTACAATTTAATATAACAGAGCTTCAAAGATTATTTCCACTCTTTGCTAGCTGGGGCGGCATTCAATCCATTCAGTTCTCAGCACAGGGTTAAGGTCAATTTCACAATTAATTATATATAACTAGTCTAAGAGGGAACTCCCAAAAAAGAAAAAAGAAGATGGATAGTTCACATGCTGAAGGATAAATGCACATGGAAAGAATTGAAACAGCTATTTCATACTTGGTGAAATTTTCCTTCCTAATTTGAGCCTGTGAGCTGCAGTATGTAGAGTTCCAGTTCAAGATCGGTTGACCAGTACTGACATTGCAGTTGTTTTAACCTTTACATACAAAACTGTGAATTCTGTTTGGCTTTTCTGTTAGGCACTGTTTTACTCTGTCTGTTGTGTGCATCATGTGACAAGATGGAAAGGATAATAAGTAATGCAGCTTTGATCAAAGAAGGGTTCTTTAAAAGAAACACCAGAAAGATCTAAATAAGGATATAACAGAATACTGAACAAGTTACAACAGATATAGGACTGTCAGTTAATAGCAATCTAAATTGTTGAAAGTATTAACTACTTCATTTTGAAAGGCAACACATTTTTAATTGATGTTTGTTAGACAGGTCATTGCTATAGTATCAGATATCTTGATTGTATCATTGAGTTAATAAGGTCTTGCTACAGATGAATATGAGACTCTGAGGGAATGTATGCCAGTTCCTTGTAATTAGAATGTAGGTAAGTGGGAGTAATGTTTAGTAAAATTTACATTGTTGATAACTGAATGAGATAGCTTTGTTTGAATTGTAAGTTCTTATATAAGGGTTGGTGTCCAGACTTCAGCTTCTCAGTTTGTTAGATACAAATTTCCTGTTTCTTTTCACTTGGTAGAAATTATCTGCCAGACAGAGAAAAGCAATTGATTTTTTATGTAAAAGAGACTAATTGTTTTCAGTAAACAGAGAAAATAAACCAAATGTTGGTGTTTTTTTTATTATTCATTTTTTCATTTCATTAGAGAACTGTAATTGAAATCTCATAACTTAGGAATTGTGTGCCATTGTATTCGCAGATATGATCCAAATTCCTTACAGTCCCACCAACATTTAGGATCCAGCTCTTTACTAATATAATGTCATTTATGTTATTACCATAAGACTGCATTTTTTAACAGCTGCTGATATTGATTGAAACAGCTTTTCTTTAGAGACCAGTCTGTTGTTGTAACAAATGAGTAAATAAGCAGTCACTTCTTCATGTTGAGATTGAATTATGTTTTGCTCTACCACTTGCCAATACTGTACTAGCAATGTACATTCCTGCTGTCCTACTATTACCTGCAAGTCTTTTGAGGATTTAAACATGGTAATTTTTGTTACAAAACATGATTAATTTTTTTAATCATTAAGAGTACCAGAAGCATTGCACTACATTTGTCTTGGCAAAGTAGAAGTTGAAGGAAGCCACAGAACTGCTTAGGTTAAGGTTTAAAACAGTACCTTTACCCCCTGTTGTTGAGTGCTTTATTATTGTAGTAGAATGTATTTTCCTGAAATAGAGGCATAAGTGCACTTGTTGACTCTTAAGGGTACTATGATGAAGAGGAAAATATATCTTCATAAGAAAAAGTTATGTTTGAAGTCTGGCTTCTGAAGTTATCTGAGTACTTGCATACTGTTGCTAGCTAGTTCATTGGGATAGACCAGATTCTTGAGGTTTCAGAAGTTACTGAAGCTAGCCACAAAACAGCATTATACCTTTGCTAGAGTTCTGAAACTTTATTTACTTAACATAATGGTCTGATAAAAATATATAATTTCACACTCCTGACTACAGGGAACTCTGGGATAGTTAAGTTTTAAGCAAAATATGTTTCAGTGTACACAAATGCCAGACTTTCTACTTATTTATTATATTTATATCCTGCCCTTTTTCCAGTTTACCAAAGATCTGTTGTACATGACTCTCTCCTTCCCATCTTTGTCACCATGGATGAGATAGGCCAGACTGAGAATGGTAACTGACTCAAAAAAAGTACAATGGTTTAAACCTAGGATTTTTTTTTAAAAAAATTGTTCCATAACATATGACTAAAAGCTTTAAAAACAAAAAAGCTTCTATAAATATTTTAGAATGGATTTATTGACCACAGTTACTGAAATAGTCAAATTAACTGGCATTTTCAGTAGCCAGATTTATACTAACTGCTTCTTTGATGCTGATTATTTGTAACAGGGCACATGAGAACAGTTCTCAAAGCCTATTTAAAAAGAAAAAGGCCGACCTTTGAAGAACTTCAACACTGCTTTAATTTTCATTCCTAGACTTGGTTTATTCTGTCTGTTCTAGTCTCCAGCTGAAATTCTATACTTGTTCTGTTGGGAGTAAACACCACAGAATTCATAGGAATTCACTTCCAATCCTGTGTAGAATGTGGTGGCTTTTTTGCATCTTAAAGTAGGATCTAAAAGTATATATTCTAAAAGTATTAGCGAAAGGTGAAATTTACTGAAACTGAAACATGAGCTGTAATCCTGTTGATGTTCATGTATGGCTTGTGTAGATTTCTGTGGCTAATTGGGAAGATGCTTGAATGAATCTTGCTGTCACAATCTGGCACCCAAGTAAGATGTGGCCTGGTGTCTTGTACACTTAGCTGCAGTAAATTATGCAAATACCAGCAGGATTCTGTCTAGAGAATCTAAATTTATAAACCTAATGAAGTCTTAATGCTAAGTTGAATACAGACAAGTTGCCTTCTTTTAAGGGTTCCTGTAATGTGCCCTTTGATCCATTTTGTGGTATTTTTCCTTATTCCAAGGGTCCTGGCCTCCTGTTGAAAAGTGATGGAGTAGTCTGGTCAGCATCTGCCCTATTGAGAAACCAGCCTCTAATACGGCTTGCCTGGGAGAAAGTTTGTGAAATAACGCAGTAACATGTTTGCAGTAGTATGCTTTTGTTTTTTGTTGCTATTCACTTTCCTGTATTAACACACTGAAAATATGGTGTTTATATATTATGGCTTGGGGAGGTGTTCATGAGATATGCATATTTTCTTAGAAACCCCTCTGAGTTCAGAAGGACTTACTTCCAGGTAAATGTGCAAGGCATTGTAAGTTTTGTGTGTGGGAAATTCTTCTGGAAGCTGCTATCTGAAACTGTTTATTAATAAAAACATAACATTTGTTTCACGGGTAAAGTCTGAGAAATGATTATTCTAATGGGTGTAGACTAGATTTTGCTTTTTGGATTGAAGTTAATGGTATTTGTCAACAGGAAATGTTTGCCGTGGCCTAACAAATAAGCCAATGTTTGACTTTGGTTGTGCTTGTATGTGCGTGCACAAGTGTGAATGATATGTGATGTACCAAATCTGAACAACACCTATAAGAGTACTAATACTTTAATCAGTCAGTCAGTCTTTATCTGATTGCTAACTTCTGGCCATCTTTGCTTTTTAATCTTCCAACTTGATGTTTTGAACTTCAATACTCTGTGTATCAAAATGAACATTATCAGATTTTAAGGGGGTTGACAGAGAAGAGGCAGACACTATACAAATTCCTAAATGAAAAACCCAGTAATTGAAATAGCCTTAAATCCTCTTGGCAACTTTCCATGATTAAACTAAATTATGGTTCTGATATCCTTATTGCCTGTTGAATATCACCAAACTGTTGATTGGCACCATGATATTAAGCATACCCTTTCAGAAGGAAGCAGATGAGTTTCACTGGAATTAATTTCTAACAAATGTGCTGATGGGCCTGCAAGCTGTGCCTATAAGCCTGAGGCACAGAAACTTTAGTCAGGCTTGGTAATATAGCTTACTCTTCAGAGGCAAAATAAATGCTTCTCTCTTGTACTTTTACTGCTAGCCATTTAAGAAGACCATCATGCATGCATCTAGATTAGTGTTGGCATGTGTTTAATAGAGGGTGATGTATATCCAGCTCTTGTTTTTTCTGCTGTAGTCTTAAATTGTGAGAAAATAAACTGCTGTAACGGTGCAGTGCGATATATTAGAAATAGCAGTATCACTATCTGTAGAAAGTGCACTGCAAGAGTAGCTCAACTGTGTTAAGTGACAGGGTTTTTTTGGGCATGAAATGCTGTTTGCATCTTGAAATTCTAAATCTACAGAAAGCACTGTAGCAATTCAAGTCACCATTTTCCTCTCAAGTCTAATTTCCTGATGCTTATTTGTTGTATCTATCAAAATTACTTAGGAATTTCCTGTATGCATTTATGCCAACCTCTCTTCGATGCAGCGTGTCTACAACCTGGATCTTTCTGGATGTTTGGGCCTGAGACTTATTGCTCTAGCCAGTGTGGCTAGTAGTTAGAAGAGACATCTTGCACTCTGAAACAGCTGAAGTGGCTCTTGTTAGGAGAAGGATAGGTGAATGTTCGAGTGCAGTTTCAAATGTGGGGATTACATTTTCCTTGAAAGAGATTTTATGATAACCCACAACTGGGGCTTGTTCTGTAGTTTCTTTGAGGTTCCATAGGACTTTGACAAGGAATTCTGGCTTTGGCCCCAATTTCTTTGATCTTTTACAGTTTTTAGTATATAGCTATTTTTCTTGCAGCAAAAACAAGGAAGTACCGTATTTTTCGCTCTATAAGACGCACCTTTCCATAAGACGCACCAATTTTTTAGGAAAAGAAAACAGGAAAATATAATCTGTTTTCTTCGCTCCATAAGACGCACAGACTTTCCACACCCCTGTTTTGTGGGAAAAAAGTGAGTCTTATGGTGCAAAAAATACAGTAGTCTGCATTTCTTAAATTGTATGTTTATCAACCATTTTAAAAACTGCTTTCTCTGATATATTTGGATCAGTGGCAACGGTGAGTAAAATTACATAAGGCTGTGCATCACTCTGAAGCATCAAGTATGTGCATAGTGTCAATGAGTTAGTTCATTTTGACTGGTGGCCTTAGGTTGAATTTTACAAATTGTCAGAACATGCACCAGAGAAAGCAAAGCCGAATCTAATGGTTCAACCTAATAAAGAGCCTAATTCTATTCCTGTTAATAGCATCCATAGATGTAATGGATAATAGTGTGTGTAGACCTTGGACCAGCAGCAGTGCAAGTTAAAATTGATTCATTTAAAAAAAAAATAACTTAGTTAGCAATCTCATAAATTTGAGTTTTTTTGGAAACTGGCTTTTAGCAAAAGGGGGCAAGACAATACTTTAAACTCAAAGTTAAACTAACATTTTCCTTATTATTTTTGTATTAACTTCTCAAGTCTTACATGTCAAAGTATTAAAATTCTTAAACTAGCTAACTACTTAATTAAAAAGTTAAGACATTGGCTTATCATTAAAGGCACTTCAGTAATATGCACATTTATCTTTGATGAAGTCCTCCTTTTGATACAGATAGGTCATTTTCCTCTACTTTCTCTTCTTGCTTTTGTAGTTTCCTTTGTTTACAAATTGAGAAGAGGGGAATATGAAGAATAGCTTTCTGAACTGTTCAAGTTATGCTACTAAGGGATCTGTAATTAAGGCTGTGGATGCTTCTCTTTTCTCTAGACCAGCATGTTTTGGAAATTTGATCTTCACTCATCATCCCACATAGACACACTTCTAGAGAGAGAAGATGTAACTCTGAAGGAACTGATGGATGAAGAAGATGTTTTACAAGAGTGCAAAGCTCAAAATCGCAAACTTATAGAATTTCTATTGAAATCGGAATGTCTGGAAGATCTAGTTTCATTCATTATAGAAGAGCCACCTCAAGACATGGATGAAAAAATACGATACAAGTAGGAAACGTGTTTATCAGAAAGATTGCCATTCAGAGAAGATCTAATACTAAATTGCATAGTTTCACTTCCTGGAAATGCTATTAGTTTAGTTGGGGCTCAGAATTAGACTGTTGAATCTGTATGATTTGGGGTAATAATGTTATATTTTCACTAGTGTAGGTGAATGCTGTGCAGGACCATGCCACATAAGGCTGATGTCATGAACTGCAAAAAAATAAAATAAAATTTAAAAATTAAAAAAATCCAATTGCACCACCCCGAAAGGTCCTGAGGCTCCTTTGGGGTCCCTTTCTTTGTGGGGAGGACTTTAGGGGCAGTATGATGTGGCAAGGTCTTTAATTTTCAAAAGTCTCTGTTGCTGCTAAAATAATTCCAACAGTGGCAGTTTTCAAAAATCCCCATGGTGGCAATTTTCAAAAAAATTTTCCTGACAAAAGGAACTGACATAGGACTCATGATGGGGATCAGAAATTTTTTATTTCCCAAAAATTGACACAGTGTAAGTTACTGAACAGATATTCAGCTTATGATTTAGACTTTAGAAATGTATTGAGTTACATGCATAATGATGCTTCCACAAATTTATTGCATGCTTTCGAAATACAGTGGTGCGCCGCATAGCGACGTTAATCCGTTCCGGATTAACCATCGCTACGAGAAAACATCGCTATACGGATAGGAAAATGCCTATCCTATGTTTAATGCGTTCCAATGGCTTCTACACTCACCGTAAAGCGATGTTTCCTCATAATGGCAGCCATTTTCGCGCCCTCGGTAAGCGAGGGCAGGGCGCGAAAATGTCTGCGGCCGCCGATCAGCTGGCTGCTGGCCGAAAATGGGGCTGGCGCTAGGGCAGGAGGGCGGGGGAAGGCTCCCACGCCCTCCTCCCCAGCTCACCCCTGCTTCTTCAGCCGGCTGACCGGCCGGCGATCGGCCAGGAGGGGGAAGGAAGGCGCCTTTCCCCTCCTGCCGAACGCCCTTCTGGCCGGCGATCGCGATCGGCCAGGAGGGGAAAGGAAGGCTCCTTTCCCCTGCTGCCGAGTGCACAGGGGCTTCTCTGGCCGGCGATCGGCCAGGAGGAGAAAGGAAGGCTCCTTTCCCCTCCTGCCGAACGCCCACTGACTTTTTCCCCCAGCTGACTGGCGGGAGATTCGGAAGAAGCCCCTCCCGTCAGCAAAATCTTCTTCGTTAAGTGAATTCCTCGTTAAACGGGGCACCCGTTAAGTGAGGCACCACTGTAATATGACCATATACAAGATCCCTGAAACCTATGAGGATGCTGAAATGTGACATTGTTTCTGTCTTTCTTCCAAACATACTAGTTTGCAAAATGACAAGGTTTACTGTCTGCATTCCTTACATGTGCTTTCAGATTCTTCATTATTAAATGTGAAAATTTATCTTTACATTGTATCTTTTGGAATTACATAAGAGGGCATATTGAGCACTATCAAATATAAGAATTTTTTCTGCAAAGGTGAATTCATTAAGGTAATTATATATCACCTCATTCTCTTCTAGGTATCCAAACATATCTTGTGAGCTGCTTACTTCAGATGTTTCACAGATTAATGATAGATTGGGAGAAGAGGAGTCATTATTAACTAAACTGTATAGTTTTCTTCTAAATGACCCACCTTTAAATCCATTATTAGCCAGTTTCTTCAGCAAGGTGCTAAGTATTCTTATTAGCAGAAAACCAGAACAGGTAATTGATTAACTTTTCCTTTTAAAGATTTGTGTTTCAACAGGTGTCAGAGTTGGTTGCTTTCATTAAACTTACTGTGTGAGTGAACTACGTGTGGCCTGCAGAACGACAAGTGGTTCCTCCTGAACATACTTCAGCTCCCCTACATTCTTAAAAAAGTTTCATATCTAAAACTGATGGAGACCTCACTCAACAACCTTGATGGGAGATCTGCTGTTGAAAGATAAAGCTCGGGGTTGGAGGACAGAGCACAACCCACTAATATCCCAGAGAGGGCAGAAATGACCTCCAAACCCTCTGAAGTTGCCCTTCCTTGAAAAGAGAAGCAGATTTCTTAGTTTAGGAGGAATAACAGTGCATTTGTTTCAGCAGTATGCGCTGATACCTTACAAAACACCTTGATAAAGTGTTTAGGGATAGCAGTTATTTGTAAAAGTCATGGACAATGCACCATGGGGAAAATTACTCTTTTCCTTTGAAATATGCTATAAGGTTATACCGTTGTGCTAGAGCCAAGGCATGCAGAATTAGAATTACAAATTCTAGGTGTTAAAAAGGCTGTGCTGCTTTAATTGCTGCATCATAGCGGCAGTGCTTTTCAGCCTGAAATCTATATTTCATGACCAACCTTATAGGAGCTAAATACCAGCCATAGGTAGGGCTGCACACTTAAAGATTCATTCATATTCATATACATCTGTGCATGGACAGACACAGATGCCCACCTTGACATGACAGTCATGCTTCCAGAAAAGCATCCCACCATAGTCTATAGGAGACTTTTTTCAAGGCAGGGGAAATTGTGATTAGAGGTCCAGTTGTGATTTCAGTGAAGATCTCCTTGAAGCTGTCGTCGCTGTTCAAAGAATGTGTCCATCAAATTCACTAAGAGTTCTTTTAAGAAGCATTATTGCTGCAGAGGAGGGAGTGAGGAAATAGCACATGCTGGAACTGAAGCTGTTGGTTTCTTATCTGTGGATGGTGTCACTGTTTTGAAGCAGTGGATGCTTTGGACTGTGACTTGTGTAGGCTCCAGTCGGCCTGCTATTGTTCTAAAGAGAAAGTTGGCAGGAGTAGCAGCTGTTTGCCCTCAAAGTATGGTAATCTGAGTGATCATTTTGTCCCTGCCAGTTGAAGTTGCTGGCCTCTGGACCTTGTAACCTCTTTTGCATTACTTAATTGCCGGTGCTTCTTTCTGTTTACTTTAGCTTCATTAGCAAGCAGACCATATCATTTCAAGAGAAGTGTTTCTGTCTAACAGGGCAAACTTACAGGTTGGCAGCCTCTTTTTTTTGGACAATTCAATGAACACTGCCGGAGGTGGAATTTGAAACGAATATTTCTGTCTTGACTTTGCATCCCTCCTTTTGAAATAGGCCTAGGCATCTAGGTGTGATTTTTAGAACTCTTATATTTTTTCTGCATCATCCCAGACAACTGAAGCCCCACTGGATGAAGACTCATATGGGCTGCAAGCTAGCATTTGTCTGTCATTTTAAATAGCCGGAATAGAGACTGTCACCTACCTTGCCTTTATGTTGTGTGGAAGGACTGCACAGCTTATTTCAGCATTTATAGACTGTAGTCAAGCTATATAAATTGTTTGGTAGAAAATGGATCACTGTTTTCTACCATGTTTTCCTGAAAATAAGACAGGGTCTTATATTAGTTTTTGCTCCAAAAAACACATTAGGGCTTATTTTCAGGGGATTTTTTTAAAGTAGAACATTCTACATTTATTGAAATACAGTCCTGTCATCTTCTGGTTGCTGCACAGAGGTGGAGGGCGGGGTGTTACTTGGGCTTATTTTTGGGGTGGGGCTTATATTACGAGCATCCTGAAAAATCATACAAGGATTTTCAGGTTAGGTCTTATTTTTGGGAAAGTAGAGTAGAAATACTCCTGAAGTTTCTAATTGATTTCTTAATTTTTACCACTTAGTGCAAAATAATAATTATGTCATATTTTAATTTTTCACAGATTGTGGATTTCTTAAAGAAAAAACATGATTTTGTAGACCTCATTATAAAGCACATAGGGACCTCTGCAATTATGGATTTATTGCTTAGGCTGCTGACATGCATAGAACCTCCACAGCCCAGGCAAGAAGTATTAAATGTAAGTAATCTTTCTTCAGATTGGAGCCATTTGTGAGGAGTTAACAGAATGGCATTGGGCAGTATCCTGTTCAACATTTACGCATTTGGAACTTCCAGCTGCAGAAAACTGCCACAGTGATCTGATGAGGTGCTGGTTGTGTTGGATGTGGCTGACACTTTGTCATATTACTGTAGAAGTTTTCTGCAGATGGAGTACCACATAAATGTTGAAGAGGTTACCGCAGATGGCCTAACTTTGGGGCACATATTGTTCCAAGTTAAGAAATCATCATAGACATGATCTGTGATCAATTGTGTGTCAGTTTGTGCAAGTTAGTATGTGTTTGTTGTGATTGTTTGATCAACAAACTGAATATTGGCAAGTGTGTCTGTAACCTAGCAAACTAGCAAGCTATCCTTTGAATTCAGTTTGTAGATAGTGCATCATAGAAAGCCATCTTCTGTGTAGTCTGGAAGTACTGTACTGCTTTTATGAGCTTCTGAAGCATGCCTTTCAACTGTAGATGAGTTTAGATTCAATACCTTTTAATTACTCATACTATAGCTTTAGGTGATTACCTGTTTGAATTACCGCATTCTTCAGTGTAAAAAAACAAGGAAAAATTGAGGGTCGTTTTGTACACTGAAGGAGGCACAGGCGAAGGCAAAGGAACAGCCACTCTCGTGGCTGCCCACTGACTGCTGCCACTGCTGTCCATCCCCTCCAGTTTGACTGCCAGGGCTCACCTCCAGCTCATGTTGCTGCCTTGTCCCCTGTCCGAAGGGAGCCTGTAGGTGGTGCTGGAGGAGGCGATCTGGCAGCAGTGGCTGTCAATGGGCAGCAGTGATAGAGGGCTGAGTGCGGCTGCTCCTTTGCCGCCGCCTCCTGCTGCTGCTACTGCTGCCTCTGCCACTGGATTGCCTCCTCCAGCGCCACTCACGGGCTCCCTTTGGGCAGGGGACAAGGTGGTGACATGATCGGGCAGTGGAGGTGGCAACAGGAGGAGACGGAGCTGGAGCTGCCCCACGCAGCTGCCCATTGACTGCTCCTTCACCTCCAGCAAGGGACAGAATTAGGGCGTCCTCATATACATTGGGGAGTTGTATACACGGAAAAATAGTTTTTTAAAAATGTTTCTCTTTTGTATGAAGCATGAATGGGAAACATGTGCCACCCATGTGCCTTTAGTCCCTAGAGTCCCCTCCCCATGGTAAATCTTTTTTTAGGGAAAACAATTTTTTGAAAATCCTCTTCTGCTCTCTGGTGGACATGCCCCCCCCCCAGTTCTTCCATGTTCTTAGTGTCTCCCAGGATCACTGGACATCCCCCCCGATGACCCTCCAATTAAATTTCTTTCAGTCTTTTTTTAAATGTGTATTGGAGTGGGAGGGTGCTTTCTTGATTAGGAAAGGCCAGTTTTTGGAAGAAAAAAACAGGAAGGTAAGAAATCATGAAGCCTTCCAAGGGATGGGCATGTACAGCCCCCATACCTCTAGATATTGTCCTCCCAAAATTAATTAACACTAGACATGGGAGCTTCATATTTGTATCCTGAAGGATAAGATTATGAAGTTCAGCACCACAGGTGCCATGGCATTCCACTCCCACCCCCCAGAAGCAGCCCAGTCCACTCACCGGGCTCCTCAAAGCGCACACATTCAAAGGCAGTGACAGTGCATCCATCACTAATGTAGTCCCGCTGGGACAGCGCAGCCCTGCCTCTTCCCTCAAACAACCACTCAGCATCTTGTCTTCCTGCCTCCTTGTAGCAGTTGGCTGTGGGCAGATGTGGGACTACGCCAACTGGACTATGTGATTGGTGCAGTGCCGCCACCATCGGACACAAGCGTTATGAGGCCCCTGGTGAGAGGATTGGGCAGGTTCTGAGAAGCGGGACTGGACCACCGTGACACTTGTGGAGTTGAGCTTCATATTCCTATCCCCCAGGATACAAATATGAATTTGTATCACCCATGTCTTGATTAACACATGGCAAGTGGTAGTCACTGACATTGCCTATTGCTGCTTTTCTAGAATTTTGTGGAATGTGTGTTTTGATGTTGTTGTTAAATGTCTCTTGTGAAGTTAATCGGTTATATCTTCTGGAACTATTATCTTCTAGAGCAGCGATGGCGAACCTATGACATGTGTGCCACAGCTGGCATGCAGAGTCCTCTCTGTGGGCACAGGAGCCATAAGTCGCTGGATCGCTACCCCCGGCAGCCAAACCTGAGGGGGTGGCTGCAGCCACAATGCTAGTGCCCCAACAGGTGGCACTAGCACTGGTGCTGGCAGCAGCTGGCCGGCTGAGCTATAGGAAGTGGCGTGGTTGGGCACAACTGAAGGCAGATCTGGAGTGGGGTCTGGAGGCACCTCCGTGCCCAGGATTCTCCCTTCCCCTGCCACCATTTCTGCTTCTACTGCCACTACCTGCCACCTGCTGGGTTGTTCTCCCACCCCACCCCCCAGTTTGGGCACTCAGACTCAAACAAATAAATAAATAAATTCACAATGAATGAATGAATGAATGAATTCACCATCGCTGTTATAGAGGATTAAAAATATATTTTTAAAAATCACCATGTGTCTCCACAGTGGTTAAATGAAGAGAAGATTATCCAGCGCTTGGTGGAAATTGTGCATCCTTCTCAAGATGAAGATGTAAGGAATATATTTCACTTAAATTATGCATGTCTGTTTAAATCTTTCCCACAAATTTTTATTTTCTTCGGCAAAGTTGTATCCAGAATTCTTAAGATTTCATGGGCATGTCAGTCTGTTAACTACTGGGCAGAGGGGACATCTTAATCAGTTTACTTGGAATGTACGGATGCTCATCATTTGTATTGTCTTCAAAGTAATGGGTGGAAATATATCTAAATTCTGGGTTTTTAAAACGCTATGTACTGTGCTTTGATTCTTCAGAGGCATTCAAATGCATCCCAGAGTCTCTGTGAAATTATACGCTTGAGTAGAGATCAGATGCTACAAGTGCAAAATAGTTCGGAACCAGATCCACTGCTTGCAACACTAGAGAAGTAGGTTGGCATAATACTGTTTTCTGATCATTTTGAAATGATGTGTTTGTATGGCATGGCATTTGATTTTGAATATGCTCCTTATGTCAGAATAAAAAATACAGTCTAATTGGAATCAGTGAAGTATGGCAGAGGCCTGTCTTTAGGAAATTATGCCTCCCCCCCCCTCAAAAAAGAGGGTACTGCTGTAAAAATTCTGTTTATGGTTTGGAACTGTTTTTCTTTCTTGGAAACATCCAGTGGACCTAAACCCTGGTGTGTTCTCCACTCCATTAAGAGGCAGGCTCTTTTGAAGAAAGACCTGGTTTGATGTAGTTTTAGGATACACTTTATACTAGTGTTCTAAAACTTTTCTTCCTCCTGCCTCCAACACTGGATGGATATAGGTTTCTTGATTTGCTCTCCTGTGTAGATCAGCCCGTTTCTAAAGTTCGGCTGCCTCCCACCCAGGGAGTGACAAAGAGAAGTTATAATTAGTTGTGACCTGTTTTGGGCAGGTTGGAGAACTTGGACCTGACTTCCTCCTTCCACTCTTGAATGAGGAAACATGAGAGGAAAATAAAGCTAGACATGGTTAGTCAGTTCTTCACAGTGGTGAAGAAGAGAACCCAATAATCCGTTGAGGTCATTGTCACCTATTTGACCTGCACATGAATGAGCTGAAATTAGTGACACCAAGAAGAAGGTCCTACAAACGTATTGGAACCATTTCAGTTAGCTCTAGATCACAGAGTTCAAGATCAAGAAAGGGTGGTAGAACAAACAACTGGCATTCATCTCATTACCAAAACTACAGTGGTGCCTCGCATAGAGATCGCTCCATTGAGCGACAAAATCGCTTAGCGATGGAGTTTTTGCGATCGCAAAAGCGATTGCTTTGCGATGGTCCCTATGGGGTTTTTTCGCTTTACGATGATCACGGGGAAGCGATCATGGCAAAGCGACCCTTTTTTAACAGCTAATCGGCGGTTTCAAAATGGCCGTCGGGAAAACAAAATGGCTGCCCGCTGTTTTTCCTTGCTTAAGAGGCAGCGAAAATGGCGGCGCTATGGAGGATTTTCGCTTAAAGGTGAGGTTTTAAGCCCATAGGAATGCATTAATCGCCTTTTGACGCGTTTCTATGGGCTTTTTAATTTTGCTTAGCAATGTTTTCACTTAGCAACGTTTTTTCCGGAACGGATTAACGTCGCTAAGCGAGGCACCACTGTATGTCATTATGAATTCATTTATATCCATGAAGCCCTCCAGGCATTCCAGTAATAAGTCGTAGAGCTCAGGGAAGAAGCTGGCTGCTTCAGCTCAAAGGGTCGTTTCCAGGAAATCTGATTGGCTCCCCTGGTACTCAGATAGGGGACATCTGCAGTACTCTACAGAATTCTGGCACTTTTCTGTATTGCACATGGGAAAATTGTCCTCATTGGGTTTCCTTTGATTTCTGAGAGGTATGGTAAGACAGACCTCTGATCCCTCTTGTGTCTTCCAGCTCTATTAAAGTACACAGACAGTAGATCTCACCTTGTTGCAAATCAGGACTCATTGAATCAGTCCTCCACCATCAAAGAGGAACGCGTGCCTGTTCTTCCATCTTCTTGTCCTCAAGAAGAATAGTGAGATCTCAGTCATCCTAAAACAGAGATGCATTAACAGGTTACTTCAAGCACACTGGTTTTGAATGCAAGTATTTCTCAACCTATTAGTCATTGCCTCAGTTGACGTCTTCATTTTCATAGACATAAAGGATTGTTATCTCCACCTTCTAACATTCCTTCTCATTGCTGGCATTTCTTTTATTGTGTACTGCTCATCAGTCTAGCTGTATTACAGAAAACTTTCATCAAGATCCTGGTGACCTTATGGATCTCAGACCGGGAAGGATTGAGGCACTCTTGGTTGGAAGGTGTCACTCCATGATTGTGCTTGATTGACAGATTATTGAAGCTCATAGTTCCATTTCTCTAAGAAGGATTTGTAGCCAAGTCAAGCAAGAACTCTTTCTCCATCTTAAAAACTACAGCATCTGCGAATGATGATAAATGTTTAATCTGTGAGGAACTTTGTTTCACCTGATTATTCAGAGTTTGAGCAATCATCTAACAGGACTTGGGGTGCCAAGATACTCACTCCTGTCTTGACTCTTAGTATGGCTCTTGTTCCATGAAGCTTCTCAGTCCTCTGTGTTTGTCCCATGAGACAGACAGGAACTTTTAGTCTCTCTATCCCCAAGCCTTGGCTTAATGACTTAAGGATAAATGAATTCTTAGAATAGTCTGAGCCAACAAGAATTGTTGTTACCTCTGCTCTTTTGCACTGTGTGGTCTGGAGTAAGAGTAAGATATCCTTGGTCTCAGCTGCCAGTACAGACTTCTGGAATCCTGGTCATGATCCTTGTGAACAGTGTGCCAGCTCTTTCATACATGAACAAAGTAGAGATGGTGATGGGGAAGAAATCAGATTTCCTGCCTTCTGCAGGAGACTTGTTCAATCTTAGGATGAGTAAAACAGACCCTGTTCTTGAGGGGGCACCTCCAAGTCAGAGGTGGGACCACTGGCCTTCTTTTGGTCTGCAACTCAGAGTCATTCAGTAAAGTCTGTGGCAAGGAACTGTGGAAGTTACAGTCCCAAATATTTGGTGGGGCAGGTAGGTCAAAGTTTTCTCACCTTTTAGACCAAAGTGACCAAGAGCTTACAGATAAGAATTATTGAACATGTGGAATTTTGGTTGAGAAGGGGAGCCTCCATAACCAGCTTATCAAACAGATTTCTACACTTTTTAGGAACCCCATAGGGAAGTTTATGTGTTTTCATGCAACATGCAGGCAACAAAGATAACTCCTGACTCAGTCGATAGAAGTATGGCCTTTGCTGTGACCGTGTCTTCTTGCCTTTTTTCTTGCCATTGAAGTCCGGAAAGAGAGGGCCAGCATTGTCCTGATTGTACCCAGGTCTCTTTGCTCTGATGGACAGAGTTGCTTTAGAGGCCAGCTTTTTACAGGATCTCTCTTAATTGCATAGCTGATCACATATTTCATGGAATGCACTGATTTCTCATCTGATCAGCTCAACCTGAGTCTCTAAACCCTCCATTCCAGCTGGTGGGGCAAGTCTGAATTTTTAATTAGATAAAAATGTCTTCCTCATTGGTTTTGCCTGGACCTACAGATCACAGTGTCATCCCAAGAATATTCAAGAGGGGTGGCATTGTTTATAGGAAGACCCTAAAGATCTGCCTCTGCAGAATCTAGATCAACAGTAGAACTTCTTCCAAAACCACTTTTTCCAGGTAGCTCATCCTTTTGAAGTTCTGGGCAAGCAGACACCCCTCAAATTCTTCAGAGAACCTGTAGTCTCCTAGGCCATCAACTCTTGGGCTTCTGGTCAGGTGGCACACAAGGCAAGTTACTCCTCTTCAGACTTTTTCTTAGACATGACAGAATCACTGTGCTTCTGAGAATACAGTCTTTAATAGAGCTGATGCAAGAGAAAAGTGCTGCAGTGAATATTGCAGTGACGTTGTCAGTTTCAGTATTACTTTCTTTGGGTTTTCATGAGATATTGCTCAGTTTGCACTTCTGGAGTACTGGATGGCAACAAACAGGGAAAATTGAATGCTGTATATGTTTACATATGGGTTCTCTTTTGGTTGTTGGCAGTGTTCTGGTTCTTACACAGTCTTAATGGTCCTCCCTGGACTCCTTTACAATTTACAGAGGGTTGTCTTGCTTTCACTGCTTTGTAGCTGGTTTCTGGCTTTTGGGAGGAAACAGCAAGTGGCTCCAAAGTTTAACCCTGAGGCTTTCTTCAGAATACTGTGTCTTTTAGTGGATGGAGCAAAGAGTAATCCAGTGTTCTACACAACTGACTGAAATCCAGTAGTACGTTTCAATTAGAATAGTCCTATTGAATCAATGGAGAATTGGTGAATCAACACCTGTGTCAATTCCATTGATTCAGTGGGCCTACTCTGGTTATGACTTAGTACTGGATTTTAGGCAGTGTCTGGTGGATGAGTAAAAAGAAGAGCTGACAGGTAATCAGCTTCTCTATTTTTCTTTGCATTCCAGCTAAATATTCTGATTTGTGGACTAACTGGTTTTAGAGTAAAACTCAATTTTCTCAGACTTGGATATAATAAGGAAATCTGATGTCTTCCAGCTCACAAACAAGCTTTAGATTTCATGAATGAATATAGAAAGGATAGGATGAGATCCATTTTAACTGAAGGCAAACACCACATAAAATGAAATGACTTGCCATTGTATCCATATCCATTCTCTGGGAGTGGCTTGTGTTTTGGTGTATTAATGCTTGCAAATAAGTCCAAGATGTTTCATTATTGTCAATGCGATCACTTTTACAATTGTACTGATAAATCCCCCCTCTGGCCATCCAGTTAAATTGACTCTGAAACATAGATAGTTTGTAAAGTTTTCAGACTTTATATGCTTTTTTGTAAAGAGTGACTTCAAAAGGAAGTGTTACATTTCAGACAATGTCTTCTTTTTTTAGAAAAGAAATCATAGAACAACTGCTGTCAAATATTTTTCGTAAAGAGAAAAATGAATCTGCAATAGTCAGTGCAATTCAGATATTGTTGACATTACTGGAAACAAGACGGCCAACGTAAGATAATCATTTGTAAATCTTTTATTTCCATAATGTTATAATAGTTTTTTTGTCTTGTACTTGTTATGTGTTGCTTGTAACCTCTCTCCCCTGGAAATGGTTACATATGGGCATGTACACAAGCAGGCAGATTGCTGAAATAGTGTATTTCTGATGTGTTCACTTAACCTTCCGTATATCAGATAATAACAGATTAAAAGATAGTGAAGTCCTCTGAAGATACCGGCCTAGTAGTTCTGTGGCCGGTATCTTCAGAGGACAGCAAACTGTTTGCTGTCCTCTGAAGATGCCGGCCACAGAGACTGGCGAAACATTAGGAAAAACCACTTTCAGAACACGGCCAAGAAGCCCGAAAAACCCACAACAACCATTAGATCCCGGCCGTGAAAGCCTTCGCGAATACGTTATACTGATATTTGCTTGAGTCCCTAAGTTTGGAACTGGGTCCTTATTCCTAAGACACAAGTGTACTATATGATAACATTTTGTGATATTAATAATGGCAGGCAACATTTGGGAATAAGATTGTATCACTTAAGTGAATAAATACCATTAGATTCATGTATATACTTCTGCACGTTCTTCCCAAGGAAATAACTCTGCATGAATCATTCAGTGAAGGCATCATTACAGAAACACCGATTACTTGCCATTTTGAGAGTGTTTGTGTCATGTCGGGGTTTTCAGCAAAGCTCTTACATAACTTAGTGAAAATTTCTAGTTTCACGTGAGTGAAATGTTTGTTTTGTTTTGTAGATGAGACATGTTCTATCTGGTATTCACTCTCCTTCCCAGCAAACTATTGCCTTTAGGTGAAATGTGAATTGAATCTCAGAATGCATTAATCTAATTTTTGAAGATGCCAACAGAAGCAAATCTCATCTTATTTCAAGTAGCTGTGCTTACTCTTCTAATTGCCAAGCATTTTCTTCTGTGTATATTTTAGATTTGAAGGTCACATAGAAATTTGCCCCCCTGGTTTAAATCATTCGGCATATTCAGTCAGCAAGAGTGTATTAGAAGCCATAAAAGCACGACTTCCATCCTTCCATGAACTGCTGTTGGAACCCCCCAAAGTATGTAAAATACAGATCTATTTTGCATTTTCAGCATGAGAAACACACATTGTCTTTAATAAATTGTATATCAGAACCTTATATTGATTGGCAGTTAGGCACCATTTTTGTAACGTTTTATATACCAGTCTAATTTTGATTGAGATTTAGGATGATCCTCATAATAAAAAATGAAGGGGCAGATTGTAAGAGTCTAGATCAGTAGATTGTAAAATAGACAAAATTACACTGTGGTCTAGTCTATTGTAACTTCCCCTTTTGTAGTACCAGCTGCTCATTATTGCTTTCCTTTTTTGTACTTTCCCATGACATTCTTAGGCCAGGAACATATGCAAGGCTAGGATGAATGTAACAGAACATGACTAGATGAACTTAGAACTGTTAACTTCTTAAAACAAAAGGTCTTGTATAGTTTCAGTATAAAAGCTTGGTCTCGAGCCATTCCTTGTTTCTTCTCTGTCAGTCAGTTGGCAAAGCAGATTTTCTTCTTTGTAAAAAAAAAGAAAGAAAAAAGAAAAAAATACAGTTTATAATAAGTGACTGGTACTTGTTGCCTTAAGAATAATTTAACAGTGTTACTTGAGTGAAAACTGTTGCAAGGTGTTGTATGTTTCAGTTACATACCTGATCACATGCCCAGTTGTGCAGTCAACATATGTCCTGGCATTTTGTTGATCAGTCACAATTAGTTATGGCAAGTTCTTCAAAATGTATGCAAATACGAATAGAATTTTGGCCAGTGTGGAAGCAGCTGACCTTACCTCTCGGAGTGATGGGGTAAAATGAACTAGCTGAATCTTTTATTAATCTCTCTGCTCAAGACCACTCTATAACCAGGTATGAGAGGTGAGGCAGGGATGACACAAAAACATCCTCACTGGTTGCTGATGTATCCAGGTTATGGAATTTTCTGCCCTAGGGAAAATTTTCCTCCCCTTCCCCCATGGGGTTGTGATGCTAAATGAAGCTTTACCTGTTCCACTAGGCATTTATAGAGGGTGCTCTGTAAATTATTTTCCCATTGACACTTAAAGGTTGCTAGGTTAAATCTGCACTGTCATACATTTTTATGTAAATATTTGTTCGCATGTTTTAAAATTTGGGGTGTGTGTGCTAAATATATACCATTTCCCCAAAAGTAAGACCTAACCTGAAAATAAGCCCTAGTATGATTTTTCAGGATGCTCGTAATATAAGTCCCAATTTAGTGAAACCCTGCCCTCCATTGTACAGCAACCAGAAGATGACATGACTGTATTTGAATAAATGTAGATTGTGGTACCCCAAAAAATCCCCTGAAAATAAGCCTTAATGCATTTTTGGAGCAAAAATCAATATAAGACCCAGTCTTATATTAGGTAGGAGGCCCAGAAACAAAATAGATGGACATGGATATAGTTTAAGCAAGTACTTCATCTTGCCAGGTGCCACAAGATGCCAGATCTTGTGGACTCATGCTTTTGATGCTCCTTTCTTCATGTTGTCCTACCAGTGTAGCATGGTACTTCCCTTGCCAAAGTGACTGAGAGTCCATCTGCCATTATGTTGTGTGACCCTAGTTCTTTGCCTTTCTTTTTCTGACTCCCATCATGACTCTAGGTCACTGTGCCTTCCAACTTTGGTTGCAGTGATTAAAGAAAAGTTCTCCAGCACCTGCATTGGAGAACTTAAAGTGGCATGATAGACCTCTGCTACTTGTTGTCTTTTCCAAAAAAGTTTGCTCCTGTAGGACCTCCATGCAGATAAAGGAGATAGGTCTTCATCTTTGCTCCATAGAAAGAAGCAGAGCTCTCAGAACTTTGAGGGGGAGGAATTCATACTTGCCATAAAAGTTCCATTTATTTATTTATCTTTGGTTGCTTACTATAGAAAATCATTTTTGCAAAGAAAATTATCTGTCCCTCATACAAACTGTACTAATATTGTAAAACTGATTGTGTGAAGAGTACAGTATCTTGTTTTTCTCATTGGATAATGCTTTGGACTATTGAGTCCTATTTTCATGTTTTACTTCTCCAGAAAAGTGTTATGAAGACAACGTGGGGTGTATTGGATCCACCTGTAGGGAATACCAGGTTAAATGTAATTAGGTTAATATCCAGCCTTCTACAGACAAACACAAACAGTGTGAACCTGGAACTTATCGAGCTCAACAGCATAGGAGTTATACTGGTAAGGATATAATATATATTTGCAAGATTGACTTTTCTTCTTGTAGTAATGAGGTAGCATGTTACCTTTTAAAAGTGTGACATGCTTTCGTGTTCTTCCTGGTCGTGTCATGACACAGGTGAAAGATACCTGGCTTCTTTGATTGATGTAATGAAATGTTTTCTATGAATTTCTTTCTCTGTTGCCATGATTTCCATATTTGAAAGCCCAGTTTATTGTTATTATTGGGAACATCCATAATGAGGAAGGGGTAAAAAAGATTCTAAAATATAGCTACATGAGGCCAGAAGATTGGTCAGATTAGTGTACTGTGATCTTGTGCAATGTCCTTTTTTCCCTCTGGCATGTTCTGTTGGAAGGATGAACCATATACACCAAGGTCTTCTAATAAAACATGTTTATTGTATGACAACTTGTCAACTTCATTATTAACAAAGGTCCTAGTCTCGTGTTTCAATGCCAGGTCATAGCTCTTTTCGTCTTCAAACTGTAACAAGTCCCCTTTCAGTGACAAGGGTGACAAAGTTAAAACTCTGCAACTCCATTTAAGTACTAAGCCCGATCTATCAGGTAAATTGTTGTCAGATGTCATTGAGGAGGGTGGAAAACCCAGCCCACCTATGGCTCCCATACCTTCTTGCCCGGGTTTTGTCTCAGCCTCGGTCAGAATGGTCGGGCCCCACGGGGTTTCCCAGAACTCTCTGTAGATTGTTGGCGTTCTTTCGTTTGGGCCTCTCATTGCTGCCAGGCTTTGAAGTCTTTTTGCTTTTCCCTCCTCAGTTTGCCCCCAGTAGGGTGCTTTCCTATAGACTTTTCCGCTTCTTTTCCACTCTCTTTCTCAGCGTATTCTCTCAGGACCTTAAGCTCGGTCCACCCCCCTCTTCCTGTAGGACAGGCAAGTGTTCTCCGGTGCTTTTGCTTGTGGAGACCGGCGATACACTCTGTGGAGTGCCTCTGGAGGTACTCCCAGTCTCACATGTATGCATAGATGGAGTCAAACATTTGGTGTTCTTTTTGCTGCATAGACCAAATAGCTTGAGAAAGAGCCTTTTAAATTGGGAAATGGGGAACATTGAAACTTTCACAGTTATCACCCAGTTTGCAATCCAGTAGCTGTATTTTATGGATGTATGTATAAGTTAGGAGATGAGTTTACAGGTCTCCTACATAATGTATTATTCAGCTCGGATCGCTTAACCTTTTGTTAGGACCAGGCACAATTGTAAATAGTGGGATTTAGCACAGTTTCAGGAACTCAGAAGATCTCCAAAGGGAGACCTGGATCCCCTGGAAAATCAGGAAAATCAGGGAATTGTGTAATTAGCTACATCATCATCAGAAATCAGGGTAGGGTTCATACACTTTTTAGTGCTTTGTGTTACAATGAGATGTGCTAACAGTTAATTTTGGCACATAAATCTGTATTTAGAAGTGGTAGTGGTAGCATCTCACAGCTTCATTAACAATTGTTTGTGTCTCAACAGAGAGGGACCTAGTTGATATCTGGAGTGATCTTGCTATGATACACTCTTGCATTTGGTCTTTGTAACTAGTCATTTCACCTGAGGATCTAGAGATGTATGTTCAGAAGCACTGGTATATTTTTGTGCTTACATTTTACTGATGTATCAGGCCTAGTGTATAGCCCATGTTGCCTTTAGAGAACTCTAGAACTACACTTGAATATTATTGACTGCTATTGCATATTAGTTCATTATTCATTATTTGAAATAGTTATTGTATGGTCACGGTGTTTATAATAAATATATTTTAGAGTATATTTGAGTGAATGACTTCAAAAGTTCATGTTTTCTCAACAACTGAAGTGGCAGTTCTGATAAGTTTTTTTGTGTGCATGCATGTGTGCTTGGATTTCTTTCATGAACATTTTGGCCTGGCTCCTACTCTGCACTTCCTCAGTAGTAGGACTCTTTTTGCTTGTAGAATGAACTCTAATCTATCCAAGGCTCCTGTTGTTGGAAGTGGATGGAAATTTTCTTGTAATTTCCCCCCAACAACTCAAGTACTAGCTCCCATTTTGATCTAGAGAGGCTCTAGTACTTTCTAGAACAGATTTTTAGTGGGGCAGGAGAATGGTGAAAACCATCTCCCACCCCTCCATTCTGACAGTGGGGCTTTCTGTGAGTGAATTTCTGTTTATGGAAATGCAAGATCCTGGCCTGCATGTTTAGCAGGTATTAGGTCTATTTCTGACTCAGATGTCTTTTTATTTTTCAGGATATGTTTTTTAAATACACATGGAATAATTTTTTGCATACTCAAGTAGAAATTTGTATTGCATTGATTCTTGCAAGTCCTTTTGAAAGCACAGACAATGGTACAGTCTCAAATCAGGACATTACTGGAGACAACCTTATGCTGAAACATGTAAGTTCTCTTGTTTCATTAATTTGTAAACAACAACAGTTCAGAGAGAGTGTTCCAGACTATAATATTTTACCTGCTCCTGTTTACTTAACTTTCTTTCCTGATGGAACATCACATCTACTAGTCTCCTTGTAGTAGTACTAAACTCAGGAAAGGAAAAGTAGGAAGCATATTGATTTGAATTCCTTGAGATTAAGTGGCTGTTTCTTCTTTCATTTTTGCATATCCAGTTTTGCTACTGCCTACTGATTTTGTGATAATATTTCTTAAGGAGTTGAAAGCACGCAACATTTGCTGCCCCTGATATACACTGTGTTTTTGAATGTGCCATAGTTGTATTGCGGGCTGGGAATTACTATTACTTCCAATGTACCCTCTAATTTTCAGCCCCTCTGGGCGGGGTTCAGCCTTCTCCCCTGTGTGTACTGGGTTCCGTTGCAACTGGAATTTAATGTGATTGCTCTGCAGAGGAGGAGGACAGCTGCGCAGAGGGAAGCGGAGTTCCCCACGAGCACCCAGCTTAGCAGGAACCTTGATTACTTCTGTTCTCATTCTGAAATATTGCTTCCTTATGTCCCAGAATATGTTAACTTTATGCTTTGCAAGCCTGAGAAGTGAACAACCTTTGGTGCCAGATTCCTCTTAACAGTTGGTGCCAGAAGGTTCAGGTGCCTCCTTTTCACATGAGTAGGTAACCTTAAAAAGTTAATATTGGAACCTACTGTGAATATTTCTTTATTCAGAGCATAGTGCAAAAATGTTCCATTGTTTTCTACAAGCATTCCATTTGTCATTTCAATTTTGATGCCTGTAACTCATGTAGACTTGGGCATTTCCAGAGAGGGACAGGACTACTGCATACTTAGACTTGTACTGGGAGAACAGTACAAGAATCCATTACAGTGGTGCCCCACTTGATGACGATAATCAGTTCCAGGAAAATCGCTGTTAAGCGAAATCATCGTCAAGCGGAAAAAAACCCATTGGAATGCATTGAAAACCGGTCAATGCGTTCCAATGGGGAAATACCTCATCGTCCATCGAAGATTGCCCATAGAGAACCGCCAATCAGCTGTTTAAAAATGCTGTCTTCCGAAGCTAGGGTCTGGAAAGCAGCCATTTTGAGAAGGGAGGGAAGCCATTTTGCGGAGCCAGAAAAATAGTTGGTGAACAAACGGTTCGCAAAGCAGGCTCCTAATTAACATAAAGCGAAAAAAACCCTACTGCAATCACAAAAAACTCATTGTAAACGGATTTCGACGTCATGCAGGGTAAGCGTCAAGCGGGGCACCACTGTATATTGGTATTTGGCTATCTAATCACGAATCGAGTCATTTTGTTCTTTTCTTGCATAAAATGCTACTTACTGTGGGGAATTATGGGTATTGGTGTTCTCCACAAAGGCTAAAAAATGCCCCCTTTTTTGTAGCTTTTCCTTAAGTGCCATTTAATAGAACGAATACTCGAAGCATGGGAGATGAATGAAAAGAAACAGTGAGTACTCAAAATGTTTTCCCTTGATGTGCAGTTAAGATATTTTAGAACATTTGGGAGATAGCATATAACTTGTTTTAGTTTTAAGCAAATAAAAATAAAAAATTCATTGTGATTGAGATTTTCATAAATGACATGTGATTGGGTTCTTGTTCAAGATTAAGCAATTCTTCTTCCTTGACATGATTAACCACAGGAGACATAATACTATTAACTGAAGGTCTAATTTCTTTGGAAGGGGGGTGTATAACAACTTCAGTGGGTCCAACAGGACCATCAATTATAGGTGATTCCGGCCACATTACAGATAGCTCTGTCAACACTATATTGTCCTTCAGCACGGGGACACTCCAAATCTCTCCTGGTCTGTAGGTTTTCTCAGAGGCTGGCTTCTCACCACGCAAATCGTCCCACAACAAGGGTGATGAGCCCAGTCTCCCTCAAGAGGTGTCTGAGCTGTAGAGACAGGATCTGGCCATACCACCTTCTTCCAGGGACCCTTCCCTCTTGGGTAGATGTATGCTGTCCATTGTAACAGATCCACTTCTCCTAATTGGATTTCTATGCCTGCGGTGCCTCCCCCCTCTCCCACCCTCCTTACTCCTTTTGTGGAACAGTGAATATGTATGGTTCTTCCTCTCTTGTCCTGCTCCTCCTCCTCCCTTCTCTTCCCCTCCTGGACTGCCCTAGTTTCCTGAGCCCCAACTTCTCTCTTTTTCTCCTCCCTCATCTCCTCTGTCATCAAGAAACCCTCTACTATAGGTTGTCTGGTTCCAGCCTTTTCCTTCCCGTCTCCTTCCGTTGTCTGACCCACCCCTAGAGTCAGGTCCTGAACCATTGTGGGTAAGGTAGATAAAATCGTACTGATTCCTTCCTCCTGAGATGACTGAGGGGACGGCTCATTTCCAGGCTTAACCTTATTAACCGGTTCCTCTTCACATGCCCCCCCCTGGACAAGTGTGCCATCCTCTCTTCATCTGTCTGGAGAGAAATAATATTTCTCACCTGTTGAGAGAAATAATCTGCATTGACATGAGAACTCTCCTTTTAAAGTATCTCAAATGCAAAAGGTTGTAAACTTAGGTACCAGTGCATCAATCTGGAATTGGTGTCTTTTATTCAGTCTAGCCATTGTAGAGGAGCATGATCGGTGTGAAGGGAACCCCCAACAGGTAATACTTTAAAGACTGTATGGCCCACTTAACAGCCAAAGCTTCTTTCTCTATATTTGCATACTTTTGTTCTCAGGGTGATAATTTTTTTGCTCAAATACATGAAATTCCATTCCTCACCTGGGCTAAAACTGCTCCTACCCCTCGGTCAGAAGCATTGGTTTGTACTATGAAAGGTACTGTAAAATCGGGAGCATAGCGACTAGGTAATGAATTCAAGATTATCTTGAGCTCCCTGAAGGTCTGTTCTTTATTTCCCCATAGAAATTTCTTCATCTATCATTTTCTAATCATATCAGTAAAAGTTGCTGTTATCTCCGCAAAATTAGGGATGAATTGTTGACAATATCCCGCTAGCCCTACAAACTGCTGTACCTCTTTCTTAGTCTGAGGACAAGGCCACTCATAAACCTTTTCTACTTTATCACAAACTGGACAGATCCTGTCCTGTTCCACTTAGAACCCTAGAAATTGTACCTCTCTTTGGGCCACTTTGCACTTAGCTGAATTTACCCTTAACTGAGCTTTCCTCAACTCTTCTAATACCTGTCTTTAGATGTTTCAGATGCTCTATATTGCAGCTGTCACTATAAATCAGAATGCCATCCATGTAGGCCACTGCATAATTTGAAACTGACTCTAATACCTTATCCATTAACCTCTGGAATGTGGCTGCGGCTCCATGTAATCCAAAGGATATGCACATAAATTTATATAAGCCTTTAGGCATAACGAACACAATAGTCTCCTTTTCAGCTACTTTAAGGAAATCTGCCAATATCCTTTAGTCAGATCTTATGAGAACAGGAATTTGGCTTGGCCCAGTCGCTCTAACAAATCCTCTACCTTGGGCATAGGGTAGGCATCAAACTTCGATACCATGTTCAAACATTTGAAGTTATGCATAACCGTACATTCCCATTGGGTTTTGGGACAATCACAGGATAACTTCTCCATGGACCATGTGAAGATTCTATTACTCCAGGGGCCAGCATCTCCTTTACTTCTTGATCTATGGTATCTTTAAGGTTATGAGGGCAGTTACGTCCCCCTGTCCTCATTATGACATGAGGGGAGTATTGATATGATGTTCTACTAGAGGAGTGGAACGTGACTTACTAGAGAAGACATCCGAAAATTCCTTCTTTAAGGTTCTTATCTGATACTTGTTCAACATCCAGTTCTACATCTAAGCAGAATTCTTTAGATGGTTGATTCCACACTAGTGCTTCCGGTCCTAAATCTTCCATCTCTCTCCAAAAGACCTCTCTTTCCCTCCATTCTTTCAACATTTACCTGGAAAGTGCCCGATTTTTTCTTTTTGTCAGGTAAAGCTACCTCATAATCTACAGATCTGGGTTGTCTTATTACTTCATAGGGACCTTGCCACTTCACAAAGAGCTTAGCTCCATCTGCAGGTAGTAGTAATAGGACTTTGTTCCCAGGCTCAAACTGTCGGGCCCTTATCTTTTGATCATACTTCCTCTTTTGCCCCTGTTGGGCACATCTCAAATTGGTTTGGGCCATTTCCGCCACCCTGGCCAGATATTCCCTCATCTCTATCACTTGTTTTATCACTATTTGGGCTTCATCTTTGTCACTCTCCCACTCCTCTTTTATGACATCTCGTATACCCAGAGAATTCCATCCATACATAATTTTGAATGATGAGGACCCAGTTAACACTTGTACTTCTCTTATAGCAAACATTAAAAGGGGTACCAGCAAGTGCTGCCCTCCCGGTTTCTCCATTACCCATGTCCTCAGCATTCACTTAATTGTTTTGTTAAACCTTTCCACTAGGCCATTTGTTTGAGGGTGATAGACAGTGGTATGTATTGGCTTAACTTCTGAAAGGTGCCACATCACCCAAAAAGTCTGGCTCATAAAATTAGTTCCCTAATCAGTTAACACTTCCTTTGGAAAACCTAGTCAGGAGAACACTTGGAGTAGTTCCCTAGCTAACACCTTAGCGGTCGTATATCTAAGAGGGATAGCTTCTTGATAACGAGTGGCATAATCTACCAAAACCAGGATATGAGTGTGGCCTCCAGCTGATTTGGATAGGGGTCCCACTATATCCAGCCCTATTCTACCAAAGGTTCGGTCTACCAGAGGCATAAGGACTAGAGGTGCTCCAGGGCGTGGCTTGCTTTGGGTCATTTGACACGCCCTACAAGTTTTACAGTATTCTTCTACCTCCTTTCCTATGCCCGGCCACCCAAACCATTGTAACATATATGGTACCATCTTTTGGGATGCTAGCTTTATCATGAGCTAGCTTTATCAACTCTTGTCTCCATTTCTAGGGTACTGCCAACTGTCTTGGTCCTTCCTTATCTATTCTGTACAGTAGTCCTTCCCTCACCTCAAACCTGGTACTCCCCGACCCTTCGAGTTGTACTTTGTTGAAAGCCTCTTGTAAAGAAGGATTATCTTGTTGCCAAAACCAAGTCTGCTCTCAAGACGTCTCTTCTACAAAGTCCATTCTTTTCACTCCTTCCTTGCATTCTCCTTGCAGCCCCTCATTTAACTCTACTAGCTTGTGGGCCTCCACCCAGTCACATCCCAGCAACATTTCCTTAGCTAAACCAAACCAGGAATAATTCCCACTTTCAACCTTCTCCATTCTCCCAAAATTTCTACATCAGCCCAGGTCTCATATGGCTTTAAATCTCAATGAATAAATAAATGGTGGTGATTCCTTCCATCTGAGATGATTGAGGGGATGGGTCACTTCCAGGCTTAAACATTGACCATTTTCCCTTCACAGTATACCACTTTGGCCTTATGGAACATGTACAGTTTATCTGTTCCTTGAGCAGAAGTAGATGAGACAAATTAGTTCTTATTCTAATCGTGCAGTATTCACTATACTGTACTGCCCTTGCATTTTTGTTTAAGCAGTGTATTACTGTCCTGTCATTAATTCAACTTCAGTAGTTTGGATGAAAAAGACAGTATTAACTTGTTCTTGTACATATATGATTAAGTAGAAAAAACTTTAATGAAGAAAAGGAAAAGTGCAAGTTTAAATAGTAGCCAGTAGTACATCAGAGTGAGCATTGTTACATATTGCCGTGTTAAAAAAAAAAAGATTTCAGCATAGTGTCTCTTTCCATTTTTAACATTTCTCTGATACATAAATATGCATAAAGCTTAATCAACTTGGAAAGTGGAGTTGAAATACAGAGGTACCTAAGAAGGTGCCTTTTATGGAGAAGTAACCCATCAAATCATATTTGGTCTCCTTTACCTGAAGTAGCTGCTGCTGTAAAGGTAAAGGTCCCCCCCTTGACATTTAGTCCAGTCATGTCCGACTAGGGCGTGGTGCTCATCCCTGTTTCCAAGCCATTGAGCCAGCGTTTGTCCGAAGACAATCTTCCGTGGTCACGTGGCCAGCGCGACTAGACATAGAACACCATTACCTTCCCACCAAGGTGGTACCTATTTATCTACTCGCATTTTTACATGCTTTCGAACTGCTAGGTTGGCAGGAGCTGGGACAAACGATGGGAGCTGCTGCTGTAGTTCAGTGCTTTATTAATATACACAAAAGAAATGAAATGGAATATGTAAAAATGAAAATTTCAACAGCTTTCTGTGAAATGATGAAGTCTGTTTAACTCTTACAGGGCTGAAGGAGGAAGACGGTATGGCTACATGGGTCACTTAACAAGAATAGCTAACTGTATAGTGCACAGTTCTGATAAAGGGCCAAATTGTACACTAGTGCAACAACTTATTAAAGGTAACTTGTTCAAGAATCAAATAATATCTTTTATTTAACCTGCCTACTAATACATCTGCTTGGAGAATATGAATGAATTCTCAATTTCAGTTTTGCGTAGTGTTTTGTCATGTGCTACATTTGTTCCTCTTTCCACATTAGTTTGCTTTCCTTCAAAATTCTGAATGAAAATTTGTTCACATCTTTATGTGCATTTCTGCTAAGGTAGACTTATTTTATGTACTGTGAACTATATAACTCACACTGCATACATATATATGTTTTAAAGTATGCATTATTCTCTCATACAGACATTTTGCCTAATTTGCTTCTGAATGTTTATTAAGATAAATTTCTTATGTGCCCCCCTCCGCATGTATTTTGTACAAATTTTTGGTTAGGCAATTTCTCTGCCAATGATGATGAGATTATTATATTTTTAAAACTCAAAAATTCTGTAGAGAATGTTGTGCCTTTTTAGTTGGTCTCATAAAGGTATTTCCACAGTGAGGATTTTAGAATTTTCTGAGGGTGCAAATAGGTTCTCATGCATTTTCTTTCCACATTGAAGTCTCTTGTACCATTCACATCTTGGGCGTTTGGGGGAAGAGAGGTGGAAATGTAAGCATAACTGTTGGAAGGACTGCAGCTAAGTTTGTGTTCTAAACTTTGTCATGCTTTCAACGTTCAACATATCGTCTGCATATAGGGATTAACCAAGGAGCAGTTCCTTAGATGTGTAGCTTCCACTTAATTTATCTTGAGCAGTGAGTGTACAAGGTGTAATATTGTGGATGCTATATTGAAATGTCAGTATGTACAACAGTGTACAAGAGAATCTTGCTTAAGTGACAATATTCAGCAGGATAACATTAAACCTCTCTTCATTTTGACTTTCTAGAGCTTCCAGATGAAGTCAGGGAGCGATGGGAAACTTTCTGCACAAGCTCCTTAGGTGAAACAAACAAAAGAAACACTGTGGATCTAGTAGGTTTCATAAGATGATATTTTGGGGTGAGATGGGGACACTGTTGTTTTCAAATGCAGAATCCACAAGTTACAATGAAAATGGGAAATTCAAACAATGACCATGATGAATATGCAGTGGTGCCTCGCTTAACGATTGCCTCATTTAGCGATGTTTTCGCTTAACGATGGCTTTTTAAAAAGAATTCTATGCATCATTTAACGATGTTTCCTATGGGCGATTTTCGCTTAGCGATTTCGGGACCATGCTTCGCATAGCGAATGCATTTTTAGGTCCCCTGTTTCGCTTAACGATGTCCGTTTTTCCAATTTTAAAAGTGTCTTAAAATGTTAGGAAAGCATTGAAACCAACTTTTGACAGCTGTCAAAAGTTGGGCTCAATGCATTTCAATGGGGGAGGAAAAAATTCACAAAAAGGTAATGAAGACTCAGAATAAAGCGAAACTAAGTTTGCACACGATTTAGAAGGTGCTCTAACGAGCCCAACCTTTTAAAACAGTTGCTGACTTTTCGTTAATTTTTTGTGAATTTTTTCTCCCCCATTGGAAACAATGGAGCCCAACTTTTGACAGCTCCATTGTTTCCTGTGGGGGAGAAAGAAATTCACAATAAATTAATGAAGACTCAGAAACTGTTTTAAATGCTTGGATTTGTTAGAGCACCTTCTAAGTCGTGTGCATACTTAGTTTGGCTTCGTTCTGAGTCTTTGTTAATTTTTTGTGAATTTTTTTTCTCCCACATAGGAAAGCATGGAGCTGTCAAATTTTGACAGCTGTCAAAAATTGGTGGGGGAAAAAAATTCAGCAAAAATTAACGAAAAGTCAGATCAAAGCCAAATTAAGTTTGCACCCGTTTTAGAAGGTGCACTAATGATTCCAAGCATTTAAAACAGTTTTTGAACCTTTTAAGACACACTTATATTTGCAAAAATGGACATAGCAAAACCATTGAAATGCACTGAATAGGCTTCAATGCATTCCAGTGGAGGAAACATTGTATCGCTTAACGATGTTTCCTATGGGTTTTTTCGCTTAAGGACGGCAATCTGCCTATTGGAAGGGATTAACCGGTTTTCAATGCATCTCTATGGGAAAACGCGTTTCGCTTAACGATGTTTTCCCATAGCAGTGGTTTTTTTGGAACCAATTAACACCATTAAGCGAGGCACCACTGTAAATAATATGTTCCTTTCATTTTATAGATTGCTGTTCCAACATTATAAAATATTAGTACCCGTATTCTGTTCATAACGTTCATACTAAAACTTTTGTTAAACTCTACTTTTTTATAATGCAATTTCTACTAGTGACTGTTTTCTCATTTTCTGTAATTCCAACTAAGTGTATAACTTATATATAAAGTACTCCATATTCTAGTCCACTAATTATGTATCTGTGATCCTCATGCATTTTACAATATAATTTTAATCTCCATTTGAACTCTTGTAGTGATTAAGTTACTGACCAGTTCTTGCTGCTCAGCTGAGGCAGAGGTACTGCTTCTGTAATGAACTCTGTCTTCTGCTTTATGTCATGGAGAACATAGTGTCTTTCCTTTTTTCTGCTTCTGAGAAAGGTTGTGGGTACCATCCCTACTTTCGTTTAGAATTGTATCCTACTCTTGACTTTCTAAGGAGATCTGTCAGAAGACGAGTGCTGTGCCTTCCTGTAGAAAGTCTTTTTGCTAGAAAGAGCAAGTGTGTGTGGTTCCATAGGTTCCTTAAATGAAGACACCAGACTTTACCTGTGGGCCAGTCCTACTGGAAGTTGTGCAAAACATACCCATAGCTGTCTTTTGTAGTGGTTTTCAAATAGTGCTACACTCTAGCTAGTGTTACAAGGACAGGTTTTGCACACTTGTGCTTCATCTTTCTTCCAGAGCAGCTGCAAAGGGGAAATGGGAAACTTCTGGTTCAATTTCTACTAATTGTTGTTGAGGCTAACAATTTGTCTGGATTTGGCAGACTAGAAGAAAAGGAAGAAAAAATAAAGGACCCAATATTGCTGTGCCTTAATGACTAACATTTGTTTCATTATGAGCTGTTTTGGATCAAAATTCACTTCCCTAGATGCCTGGAGAGCTCATACTATGTGATCTGTATTTATTATATATCTCCGTGTTATCTGTATTTATTACATATCTCCATGGTTTTGGTAGTTGTAATTTAAATTTGTATTTGAAAGCCAATGCTTCTAAATTCTTCAAGTTACAAAAATATTATATATGAAACATGAGGCTGTTCTTTAATGTGCAATAAGTTACATTATAAAACAATTACAGTGGTGCCTTGCTTAACGAGCGCACCGTACAACAACGAAATCGCATAGCGATCCCTTTTTTGGGATCGCTAATGCGATCGCTCAACGTTTTTTAGATAGGGCAAAATTCGCTTTGCGAAGATCGGTAAGCGTTTCACTTACCGATCTTCGCAAAACGAAGCCCCAACGATCAGCTGTTCACCGGCCAAAATGGCCGCCGGAAGCCCGGAAATGGCCCAAAATGGCTGCGCGCAGCGTTTTCGCGCCCTCCCCTCGCTTAATGGCTGCTGGCCATTAAGAAGCATCGCTGAACGGTGAGTATTCGGCCCATTTGGAACTCATTAAACCATGTTTAATGCGTTCCAATGGAATTCCCTGCCCCGTTCAACGATGCTTCAGCATAGCGAAGGTTAATCCGGAACGGATTAACCTCGCTATGCGAGGCACCACTGTATTTATCTTGTTAAACAGATTAATGCTGGTTCCATAATCTACAGTGGGCCTTCAGACAGCAGCAGCAAAAGCAAGGTCTCCAAGGACTTTTTTTTCCTTCTTCTTCCCCTTCAGATTTTGCCAAGATACTGAAACACTAACACATCTGTCTGTGACAGATTTGCCTGGATTTATCTGTCATGGCAAAAGGCAGTTATGTCTCCCTGTGTTATGGTTTGTCATTACATATAGATTCAATCCATATGTAATTTCTGGTCGAATTGGTCAGTGACTGAAATTATTGTTGCTTAGCATAGTAAGTTGCAGCTGAAGTAGGCCCATTTGAATCAGTGGAATTCATTGTAGACTCACTAGATCCTCACTGATTCAGTGGGCATACTCTAATATGACTTACTCCACCAGGCAACAGGATTCCAGTTTATGTGTGAAATTCCTGTTAAAGCCAATGAGAAAGGAAACAAACTAATGGTTAGAGATTTCGTTGTCTGCTGTTTAGAGGCCCATTGCACATTCTGGGGCCATATGTAGCCTGTTTAAAAAGTTAAATAATTAATTGTAAAACAATTTACTGCCCATTAAAAGAATTACCTCAATTTTGTTTCATTTTTCAGATGTAATGTTTTCATAGGGACTGGACTGTATAATCCCTAAGGCCCCTTCAAGCTCTGCAGTTCTAAGATGATGATGATTTGAGATTTTAGAAAGCAAAGCAAAAAACTAACTGTGCTGCTTATGTATTGCACCACAGCACTTAAGGCACTCTCTCGGCAATTTACAATGTAATTGTGCAGGTTGCATATTGTCCCGCCCCCATGAACTTAGTACTCAATTTACCAAACTCAGAAGAATGAAAGGCGCAGCCAACCTCAAGCCAGCTGCCTGAGCCCATCAAGATCAAACTCAGATTGGGAGCAGAGTCTTGACTGCAGTACCTCAGTTTAACTAATGTGTCACAAGGCTCCTTAAGTACTGGCTTCTAAATACAAATTAGAAGCATAATCTTAAGTAGGGCAGTATTTTATTGACTGTATGTATTTCAAGGCAAGGTTTTGTGGGTTTGGGCACAGTGCTGCAACGGGGGTTAGAGAGAGCCAGGGAAACTCTATTGCACAAGTAGAGTTCTCTGGATCACCCCAGTATTCCTCATGGGAACATATCAGGTAAAACATAATACAGGTAATGCTCATAAAGTTGATAAATGAAAGAATAAATTGCTTCCCCCATTTTCTTTCTTTCTTTTGTTGTGATTAGAGTCATGTTACTGATACACTCACACACACACACCCGCACTTCATTGGTTCATACTGTGGAAGTATTATAAATGTACTTAACTTTGAAAGAAGAGAACGAAGAGATTCCTCTTTGTAAAGGAATCTGTGATTCAAGAACTATGTTAACAGCAAGAACTTGTTTTTCTGTAACTATAGGAATTTTGAAATAATGCAGCAAGAAAGACATACCTGAGAAGGGTTGTGGCAGTTCCAGTCCTAGGTTTTATACTGGCGTTTTTCATTCATTAAAAAAACGATCAGAACCAAAACAAAAGTACGAGAGTGATGCCCTTTGACATATTATGTGAAAGGCTCTTATTTCTTACTGATGCAAATGATGATGGGCGAGGATAGCCCTCCCTGACCTTGGGTTGGACAGAGATGTTGGACTATCCTGCTGCATTTGTACTAGCTGGTGATGGTGGGAGTTGCTGTTCAAAGCATTTTGATGGGGCCAAGTAGGAGACTTTATAACAGCTGATTTGCCTGCAGTATTCCATTGAGGGATTCACAAGGTTTTATTGAGCCCTCTTGTTTTATTTCACTTCTGTTTTACTGTTAAATCTTCAGCATTTGTGATTTGACTATTTTTAAAATTAAACTGAAAAGGGGAGCATTGCATTTTAATGCATGAACTTCTGTTTCTAGGTGACAACATGCCATATTCATTCTTCCAGTGATGATGAAATTGATTTTAAAGAAACTGGGTTCTCACAGGATTCTTCTTTGCAGCAAGTGAGTTAAACTGTGGGTTGTTTGCAATGGTTTGAATAATTATCTGGGTTGAGAAATTTCCAGTGAGATGAGATGCTTTCAAATTCTGCACCTTCTCAGGGGCTTAGCATGTTTTGAGAATTAGAAAAAGAACAACTCAACTTGTGTACCCAAGCATGAGGAAAAACCCATTTCATTCTTTGAGAGGGTGCCACCTTAGTTTGTCTGGAATTCTAGAAGGAGGCCCTCTTCTCCTTCCTTTGCTTGGCTGTAAGTTACTCCTGGCCATCAAAGCTTTTCCCATTTATACTATGACAGTGTGTCAGACCTGGTTCTAGCTCTTCTGATGACAGCTAGGAAGTTAAACTAGATCATCTAAGGCAGTGGTCCCCAACCTTGGGCCTCCAGATGTTCTTGGACTACAACTCCCAGAAGCCTTCACCTCCCCCCCCCCCCCGTGTGCTAGGCAGAGAATGAAAGTGTTGCCTCAAATGTTTATCAGATTCCATAAACTGGTGGATGATGTTATTAGTTACAACCACTGAAAAGAATGAATCATCTTCATACTTTTTTGAAGATGTACTAGTGGACTCAGCATTCTTAAGGATTACTTTGAAAATACTGCCTCCAAAATAAACATAATTGTTACTGTTGCTTGTTTAAAAGGTTTCCCTATACCTTTCCCCCTAAGTGTACAAGGAGTCACTTTTCTCATCCTTAAATCCAGGGCCTGCTATAATTCATATCACACTACTACTTTCCACTTCTAAAAGACTGGCTTGAAGCCAGAATCAATTCTCACTCAGCTGATTATCGAACATTTGCTGTAGCCATTCCCCCCAGTTTTCAGACATCTAATACTTCAAAGTATTTTGTTATAAACAGGTTTCCCCCATATAGATATTTATGTGTGTACTTTAGCAAACATATTTCTGGAGCAAAATGGGCAAATCGTACTTAGACTATTATTAGAATCATTATATCACTGTCGTTGGTCCTGGGGTTGCCAGGCCTTTTCTGATTATCAGATGCAACAAATGACGTCCAATTTTATTGACCAGTTTGGCTTCAACGATGAGAAGTTTGCTGATAGGGATGATATTGGCAAGTGAGTATACTTTTACTTACTGGCTGCCTTTTGTTTTCCACTTGTTTGTGTTGCAGTGTTCAGTAGCTGTCTCTTTAGTGATAGCAAGTTTTGTGTAGTCATTCTTGTTCAGTTTCTACTGATACATTGTGCCCACTCTAGAAAAAATATTTAGCTTAATATGTTTTGTATGTTAACACCAGCATCCCTAGTACTTTTTTGTGCAAAATCTTCTGACCCTCACTAAAACAATAAAAGTCTCACTGTGTAGATTATTCCTTCTGACATCCCATGATTCTGATCTGAAATACTGAGGCTTGGAATGCACCCGGCTTTTGTTTGAAATTTTTCATAGGAGCCTTGAACATAAAACAAAACAATTTCTTTGTGATGCTTGCTGTAACGGCCTCCTTCTACCTCACAAAGGAAAGTCGCTACGTCACTCCACTGTTACTCTTCTGGTAGTCTGCCACCAACCATCCCCTGCAATAAGTATCTTCAGGCCGGAATGGATTTCAAACAAAATAACTAAAGTTTATTGATTGGTACATTAAGATTGGTATAACAAATAAATCAGGTAATCCCATAAAGAAAGGCTCTAGCTCACACAGACTCATATCTCCACACAATCTGATCACTATCTCATCTCAACACTCACAGATCCTGATCTGCCCTCACACACATTCGCACCCCTATATATCCCAGCTCCTCCCCCCGATGTCCCGCCTTCCGACCACCATTGGATGTTAACACTCCAGCCTAAACCTTGAAGGACAGGTGACATCATAGCTGTTTGTAACACTTGCTTCTTTATAATAGTACCATGAAACAATACTATTCTGGGGAATTCTCTTTTTTGGGCACCAGCTCAGTTCATTCATTTTTTAAATAATTGGAAATAAATATTTGTGATCCATTTAGAGATGACTGTACCACCAATATGGTCCCTTCCAGGTGCTTTAGACCGCAATTCCCATCAGCCCCAGCCATTATGAGTAATAATCAGGAATTATGGGAGTTGTCATCCTGAAACAACTAAGGCGAACATGGTTGAGGAATTGTGATTTAGAGCATCGTGTAGTTCAAAAATATAAATAAATCTAATCAGTGCAGCCAGTTCATTATATTTTTATGATGGTTGCTGATTAAATAAGAATTTAAGTCATAAATAAGTTATGTAATTAAAATTTAAAAAAACATGAATTGAGCTTTTCTCTGGGTGCAGCAAGCATATGCACTAGTTGTTTTGTTTTTGCAACTTTTTGTGCAGACAGTGGAGATATTTTTTCCAATATAACACAAAGAGTCTGGAAAAGAAAACTGATAGCTTAGTTAAGTATCTGGAAATAACAGACTGAAATCTTCCAGTTGCTTTTGTAACACTGGCTGATGCTCTGTTCCAGTTCATAATAGTTTGCTATGCTAGTTTTCAGTGTGATTATTTTTTAAACATTATCAGTTATATTTTTCTAAAGTCTATTTACCTTATTTGCTGTGAACTGTTACTTTCTAAATCATATTTTTTCATAGCTCTGTAAAAACAATGATTATGCATATCAGTATGCTTCTATGAATATGCAATAAGGTCAGCAACAAATAATGTATAAAATTCACTCAAAGCAAGGATACCTCAATTTGCAAATAAACAGTCGTTGAAATACTAATTTTAAAAAAACTGTAATTTAAGATGCTTAAAAAGATGCAGTAAGATTCAGACATTTTTTACAGAACCAGATTAAAATCATAATATAAAAGATTATGTTGCCTAAGATGTTAAACTCCCAAGCCACTCAGAGTGGTTGCATAGACCAGATGGGCAGTATATAAAGCAAATAAATAAATAAAATAAATATTGACAAGGTTGAGTTCTGTTATCTGGACTTTTAGTGAGACTCGGCATTATTCACCACCTGCATCTGGGTATTTTAATATTTTGTACTGCATAGTGGATTATGATCTAATGTGAATCACTAGTGTGGAAGTGTCTGATTTCCTGTTGCAGGTATTCACATACATTTACTCATCTGTCTCATAAAGCATTACTTCTATGAGAAAGCATTATGGCCTTGCTAAGAGCAGGAAGTGCTCCAGACCTTCCTCTGAGAGCTTACAAGCAAATTTCCCAGAAAGATAAAGTTATTGCTTTGCATGCAGTTCTCACCATTATGTTTGGAATTGCATTCTTTTTTCTATCCAAATATTTCTTCAGTAACCTACCATATTTTTCCGTGTGTAAGACGCCCCATGTATAAGATGCCCCCTACTTTTCTAACCCAAAATTTCTTTCTTTGCAAAAAGTGGAGGGGGAAGGCAGGGGTCAAAGCGCTTTGATCCTTCCCGCCCCCCACACTGCCATGTATAAAATGACCCTCATTTTTTCCTCTGGTTATTTTAGGAAAAATTGTCATTTTATACATGGAATAATACGGTAGGTGATTTTTCCCTGCAGTGCTGTAATATATTTGCTTTAAGCACTCATTGGCTTCCTCTGGTTATTTTAGGAAAAATTGTCATCTTATACATGGAATAATATGGTAGGTGATTTTTCCCTGCAGTGCTGTATATTTGCTTTAAGCACTCATTGGCCATACTGTCCAATTTCTGGGGAATTTTCCCCCCCAGCATTAATACCTGTCATTTTCCTTGCCTTACCTGAGCCTGCCTCAAAGACTTTGTTTTCTCCATACTCATGTTGTTGAAGGCTTTCATATAGTAGCTAGTAGGCAAAGAGTTGTATACTTTGTGATCCTTACTTGTCTGCATATATTGCAGGCACATGCTTCTGTGAAGTGGAGTTCCTGGAGTTTGTAGACAATTTAAATAATGATGTTTCATGGATCTTCCACCTTAGGATTCTACATTGGTGCAGTCTTTGCCTTTATAACATGTGACATGACTCTGGGACATTCTTCCTAAGAGAGGAAGAAAGCGTTTTGTTAGTCAGACAAAATAGTAAACCTGGGGCAAGCATTGCAAGAAAATTAGTAGTCAAAGCTGTTTCTCTCAAATAGGGTTTCTATTAAAAAAATTTCATGTTTCAGTCTCATACGTCTAGCTATGAAATTTTATAAAGTGAAATATTTTAGGATACTTGTCAACTAGAATGCCACTTCTCTTCTGTTTTAGTGCATAAATCTGTACTTTGTTCACAGTGTTTCTTTTGATCGTGTGTCAGACATCAATTTTACCCTCAATACAAACGAAAGTGTAAGTATATTTTGCAACTAATTGTGAGCATGGAGGAGAGTATGTCAGAGTGAAAGAAACTGTTCTTGACAGCAACCTTCCCTCTAAGCTGTGCTTGCATGCACGCAGCACTGCATCAATCCTACACAGCCGTATCAATGTTGTTGCCAGTTTGCTTCCAGTTGTGGGCGGAACCCTGCCTACGGGATGGGCAGAGTTCCACGCAGTGCTGGCAGAAATTAGAGGGAATATTGCTTGACAGTATTATCTGCTCTTTGGTGGAGTTCTTGAAGTTGAGGTAGGCAAGGATTAGAAAGGAAGAAGTACTGAATTTCTAAGGCATTGTATGAGGGGATAGGCAAGACCCACATTCCATTTGGGAGCAGAGAGGCACAGAGACCTGGCAAATGTAATATCTTTTTTATCTGCTGCTAATATTAGGTAGAACATGTAGACTCCTGTTGATGGTTTCAAATGAAATGAAATATGCGAAGAAGAAAACAATATCCAATCATTCAGGGAAGGTTGGAGAGGAAGTTTCAGCAGAAAAGATTTAAGGGAATTTTGAGGGGTCATTTATCTAAGCCTTAGTAATTAGACAGTAAATATATGGATTGAAGTGCATTATGGGAACTTCTTCCTAGATAGTTCTTTGTGGGGACTGTGAACATTTTTAAGACATGTTCTAAAAATTTAGGAAGTATGTTTTGGGACAAATTCTGGTTGTGTTCGCTGTCACCCTTTTAGTATTGAAACTAGGAATGAGATTCTTGGATTTTTTTGGTCTACAAACCACATAATTCCCCATTCTGGGAGTTCTACCTCACAACAAACATCACACAGACACCTAAATGTGACTCACTTGAGAGAAAGGCTTTAAACTAGAAGGCATTGAAATGTAGCTCTTGTCTGGTTTCCTGTTCAGGAAGAAAACTCCCAGTTAACCCAGAGACAGGAACAGGAAGCTTGGATGGAACTAGGATTAGTTAGGTTTCAAAGGCATCCACTCAGGTGAGCCACATTTAAGTGTTCATTGGGTGTCTAACTACTTGTGGATGAGCTTTCTGTATGTAGCTAGGCAACTAGGCCACCATATGTGAAGCCTTGCTAGTATGAGAACCTGTATAAAATGGCATTTAGCACTGGATAGATGTTGAGAACATAAAAAGAGTATCAGTAGGCTCACAAATGAGGTAGCGGTGATTCTGGTTCAGAGATGCAGAGAGCTGAAATGACAGCAAAGATATACAAAACCTACGAACATGAGGATGATAGGGAACCTTTTGAGGCATGTAAATCTTGTAAATCAGGGTGGCATCCACAAACTTAGCAAGGTGTAGTTATTTTCCTGTGGAACTATGAGGTGCACTGAATTCCACAGCACTGCTTGCCACCTTGGATCCTAATCCTTGCTCTTGGCAGTGATGAATGGAGTGGTGGCATTGTGATTTCTCTACTTAGTCCCTTCATGCCCATCCATCACTAGGACCACTGGCAGCTGGGACAGCAAAAGGGGAGGACCAGGCCTGCTTCTGCAACTCTGGTTCTAACTCCACACCAGCCATGGTGCTCAGACCTTAAGACTCCCCCACACTTTCTAAACCGTGAAGCTCTGTTCCTTAAACAGGAGCTTAAACAGAGATTGGATGGCCACATATCAAGGACATTTAGGTGGGGATTCTCGGCTTTGTCAGGCTTTGTCAGGAGACTGGGCGCAATCACCTCTGCAGTCCCTTCCTGCTGTAGTCTTCTGCGATTCTGTAACATGTCTGTCTGACTGTCAGGCAAAACTCCCAGAATGGAGAATCACAGCATTTATAGCTCCCCCTGCATCTGAAAATACCATCCCTAATTGTGTCTGAGTATAAAGGACATTATCTTTTAGAGTTTTCCAGCTATCTGTTGGTTTCATGGCTGTCAGCTGTATCAAGTTCTAATTCTCATGTATAGGAAGAAAGACAGCTACTCCAATGTAGCAGAGAAAGTCAGCTGACAACCCACAGTTTACATGCAGTCTATTCTCTTTTTTAAAATTCTTGGCCATTGGACCACTCTTTTTGTCTGACCAGAAATGTCACACAAGCTCCTGCTAGGAACCTACAAATGAAGAAATGGTCCTTTGTCTCCCAGTCACAGGGCAACATGGGAAAGAGTTATATTTAGGACTAGGAAAAAGGTGTACGATACTGCTTTTTTTTTTTTGCAAGTGTTCTTCCTAGAAAATAAAAGCCACTCTTGAGGCCTCCGTGTTGAAGGTGTTGCCTTCCCAGAGATACTGAATAGTAAAATTGTGTGTAATTCTTCTTACATGTTTTTGGCCACATCGGCACTAGGCTGTGCAGCAGATTTCCCTTTCGAGTGTGGCAGAGGTGGGGGGGGGAGATGACTTGCATCAACGTCTCTTTTATGTGTGTTCTCTTCCCTCTGAGAAGCATGCTTGCAAGCCAAGAAGTTGAGAGCATCTCTCACACAACACTTCTTGACTTTTAGACCCTGATCTCTATGTATCTCTCCGTGGTCTTACTGGCTGAGATGGTGGGTTTGGGGAAGGGACTTGGTAGTGGGGTGGAATTTGGCTGCTGCCATCCTGAATAACCTGTCCAGAATGATTGTAGCACATCAGATGGCTTAGGAAGTAGGCCATTCTGTGGCTACAGATCATCGTCCATGTACTTCGGCGTCTATGCTGTGGTTAATTGCTATGTATCCTTGTACATTATAAAAAGTACTGAAGAGAGCCGGGCAGGGAGTTCCCATTGTTTTCTCCACCATGCCATGTCCAGGGCAGTCTTTGACAGCAGTAAATGGGCAATGGGCCTGAGAAACATTTAAAGGCTTCTTTAAATAGGAGAAGCATAGAAAATTGCCACCAGATGAATTTTGCCTTGAGGCAGTAGTGGGCAAAGCATAGCCACAAAGGTATTGTTGGGCTGTGTCCTGTCATCCCTTAGTGAGTATCTTCAGTGGTGAGGAATGAGGAAGTTGCCGTATGTCCATGTCTGGAAGCCTGCTCCTTACTTCCATTTTCTATAAACCCTGAATATAACAGGACAATGGACATCTACAGATGTCTTCCTCTCCCTTTTAGTTTTCTTGATGGAGCCATTTTTTCTTTTTTCAGAGGTTACACCAAAAATTACTAGACATGCAAATGTAGTGTGTAGGAAGTCTAGCATTTGTGAATGATGATCTTAGTCTTTTTCATTGATTTGCGTCTAAAAAAATTTAGGGCAACATTGCTCTGTTTGAGGCATGCTGCAAGGAGAGAATACAGCAGTTTGATGATGGTGGTTCCGACGAGGAAGACATCTGGGAGGAGAAACATATTGCTTTTACTCCAGAATCTCAGAGAAGATCCAGGTAACTTCAAGATGGCAAAAAATGTGTGCTTTTACCCATAGACTGGCCCACCATTACTAAATTTGTGCAAAGTGCTGTGTGTGTGTGCGCGTGTGCGTGCAATGGACAATTGAATATAGTACATATCAATGCTAATATATCACATCTAATCAGCATATATTGTACAACAGCATGGTTAATGTTCCTGTGCTGTTGTTGTTTTGACTGTGTGAAAAACCAGTGATGATAATCTCTCTCTGTCTTTTTAAAATAAATGAATAAATAAAAAGCTCTGGCAGTACAGACAGTGAAGAGAGTACAGATTCTGAAGAAGAGGATGGAGCAAAGCAAGACTTGTTTGAGTCCAGCACCAATACAGAAGACAAGATGGAAGTGGATTTGAATGAAGGCAGGTGCTTTTTTTTTTTATTCCACTGCTTCGCAACCAGTCTGATAGGGCTACGGTCCCCAGTGCAGTAACTAGGTGTGGGACTTTTGGATTTTCTTTAGCAGCAATCCCTGGACATGATGCCTCTGGGAGAATGGCCTAAATTAGAAGGCTTTGAGCTTAGGTAGGCTGATTTCTGCACAATTTTCCTACTTCTGCCCCAGTGGCAGCTGGGAGCTTTCTTTCTGAGCAGGAAGCTTGAGCAGAGCTTGGCTAGCTAAGCCTTGAAACCTTCAAGTTTAGGCCTTTTTCCCAGGTGCATCACATCCAGATATTCATCAGGTGCCAGTAAGATAGGTAGAACTCCCAGAATGGAAACTGGTATTTGCAGTCCAGAAAATCCAAAAATCCCATTCCTAGAAGTAATTAATAGAAGGGACTGTGGGAAGCCATGATCTTGTTCAGAGATTCTCTCTCTTGCAAAGAAAAATCTTAACCATTTTTATCCTGCTACTAATGCAAGCAGCCATCTTGGATTAGTAGCTTATCCTGCTACTAATGCAATGCAACCTGGTTCACCTGATCAGTTCTGGATCCTTCAAAGAAATAAACAGGGTAGTTTGGACTTGACTCTGTTTTGGGATGAATTGACAGTGTAAACTGGAGTGGCAGCCTGGTGCTCTTCAGATACCTGTCATCTCAAAGTGTTGGCCATGATGCTTGGTACTTGTGTGAGTTGCAGTACAAATTGTCCGGAGGGCACCAGGTTGTCTCCCTGCCTTCACATGTAAGCCATAATGTGGTTATTTCCTAAAATACAGTATATTGTGGCACATGTTGTCTCTGTGATGAGCAAAAGTGTGTGGCTACAGTTTAAAATTAAGCAATATTAATTCTGAATCAAACTTAAGATGGGTTACAATAGAGTCAAGCTGCTGCGGATCATTTCTCTTTTAGGTGAATGATACAATCATCCTAAGATAGGTTGAGAAGGATCTGAAATGTTGCTTCCAGCTCTTCTAATCAATCAAAATGTGAGGGTTTGTCAATCTCTAGTTTGGAGAAATGAAAGCGTAGTGCATATTCCTCAGGTCTTTCCTGATAGTAACTGTGACAATGTAATGTACTAGTAGGATGACCTGTACAGGGCTTAGTTTAAGTGAAAAAGGAACTTCAGTGTTGCTCATTGTGTCTGCTATCTTGAAACAGAACCCAAATCATAGTCATGTTGCAGACTTACTATGAGTCCCAGATGTTTGCTCTAGAGCAGCGGTCCCCAACCTTTTGGGGACCGCGGACCGGTTGGGGGGATGGGCTCTGTGCGCGATGGTCGGGGTACCCCTGCGTGAGTGTGACACACCCATCGTGCATGCAAGGGGCGGGGGGCGGAGATCTGTCTCCGTGGCCCAGTTCCAGGAAGCCCACAGACCAGCACCAGGCCGTGGACCGGGGGCTGGGGACCCCTGCTCTAGAGAATATAACATACTGATTTTTTTCAGCACCCAACTGGTCAGCTACCTTCGATGTTCCAATGGAAACCACACACAGCACCAATTTGGATTCTGTTGGATCTGATGTTTGGAGCACAGAAGAATCAGTACCAGCAAAAGAAACTGGCTGGGCTTCCTTTTCAGACTTCACCTCTCTAAGGTGGGAAATGGAAATTATGCATTGAATGAAATAGCTATGCTATGAATCATCCAGTTTTGTCTTGAGGTATTTTACTTTCAAGAGATTAACATTAAGTTGTGGTTTTGTGTGATACTTTTAAAGGGTTAATTTATAGTAGAATATTCTTAACCAAAGATGAAAAGACACTTCACATGGTGATGTTTTTCTCCAAGACAAAAAAAGTGTCCAGGTGAACAGTTAGCAAAACATAGCACTAGACCTATTCCACTTATTTGTTTGGGAGGTGTCAGCAGGAGAAAACAAGTAACACAAATAATCCAGCAGCCCTTTTTTCTCTTGTGCAAATGAAACATTTCACATGGAAGCTTGTGTACCATACTCCACCTGCAAAGTAGAATGAAAGAGCCCCAAAACCAAATCCTCTTTTTCTTTCTGTCCCACAGTTCAGTCTATTGCATTGTATTTTTTTCAGTCCCAGGCTAGTTTTCTGGTTTAATCCCACATTAAAATATTTCTGGTTTTTGGTACTTTCTGTGTTAAAAATGGCTTGCTCATATTGGTATCATATGTGCTAAAATCAATCCTTTCCTTCCTGTCATAATTTCAAAGAGTAAAGTTGAAATAAATATGAAATGGATTGAAAGTATGAGATGGAGTGATTCCAGAAAGGAAGTGACAGGTTTGAGTTTACAAGAGCTGAGTATGGCCGTTGAGGACAGCACTTTTTGGAGCTCATTCATTCATAAGGACATAGGTTGGAAGCAACTTGATGGCAGAGTTGAAATACGCAGTTATTTTGCTTCAAAATATGTTATTTCCAGCAGAGTCTAAGACACATGACTGTGTTCTGTTTCCTCTTACTTACCTTTCTTGAGCGCAGATGTATCTTACACCATAACTCCAAGGTTGTCATCACAAATGTTGAGATATAACTTCTCTTGATAAGGAATATACAGTCTTTATTTTTTTTTACTTTACCACTTGTCTAAAAGTACCTGACATTAAATAGCTCTGAAATTCTTCCATTTTGTTTTTAAAGTTCAAAAGAATCATTAAGAAGTAATTCACCTGTGGAGATGGAAACCAGCACAGAACCCATGGATCCTCTGAGTGCAAATGTAGCTGCACTTGCAACTCAGCCAGAAGGTAAGAGTACAGTGGACCCTCAACGTATGGAATTAATCCGTATTGAAATGGTGGCTGTAGGTCGAATATGCATTTCCCATAGGAATACATTGAAAACCATTTAATCTGTAACCGGCCCAAGAAAACTCCGCCCACACGCAAAAAATGAAGGGGAAAAAAAGACCTTACCTTTCCAAAGCCTTCCAGGGGTCCCCCGCCACCGCCATAGCTGCTCTCCGAGGGCTTCCCCGCCGCTGTCGGAGGCG